TATATATATATATATATATATATACATGTATATCGATGTAATCTCAAGAATGGTTTTTCATATTGTACCGAACCGTATTCGTAAGTTTAAAATCGCACTAGTTTTTGGATGAGGCCAACGAGCTGCGGCAGATAGTCCGCAAATGCGTCGGACGGAAACAAACGAGTATGCCGATATTGGAAAATCTCAAATGTTCGATAGACATTCCTAGTCCGACCTTAGACTATAACATGCATTCCGTAACGGATGGGTATAAATGCTCGCTTACGCGTAATCCTTGTTGCGTATCGAAACGTTTCGATATAAGCTCCGTCCATTTGAAATGTGTAATAGTCAAAGAAGTCACGATAATTCGAATGAACGAAGAGAAATTCGTATATGTATATATATATGTGTAACTTTCGACCTCTTTTTATTTTCATTTTGTTTCTTGATTTCTTTCTTTTTCTTCTTATTCTTCTTTTTTTCCAACTTACAGACTCGTCGTTCATCACCCTTTTCAAAGTCTCCCACAATTACACGTTACTTTTTTTTCTTTCTTTCTTTTTTCGTTTGTCTTCTATTTCTTTTTGTCTTTTTCTTTTTCTTCTTCTTCTTCTTCTTCATTTCCATTTTCTTCTACTTTTTTCCCCTTGACCTCAATCCTATTATTACGTAGAGAGGATAACCTATCTTCGATATTTAATGAGCGTTGCGTATCCTACGAGAGTTATATTTACCGCTTTTCTACTATCCTCCCCGCGTTATTTAAAAATATTGATTAAAGATCGAAAATAATAGGAATACACTTACACGATTAAAATAAAAAGAATATTGATCTACCCTAACGCAAGTAAAAGGAGTTAATCGTATATTTTTTTGGCAATATAATATGTATATCGTGTTTTAGGGAAGAAATAATTGTTTAAAACAGATCATTGATAAATAATAAATAATAATAATAAATAATACATTTTTAAATATTCTTTTTTCTAACAGCGAAGCGATCAGAGATTTAAAATCGAATGTTTTACTTTGATATCGTGCTTGTTTTACGTTTATCAGAGAAAGTGAGAAAAATGTTTGAGTGAAAGGGGTGAATGGAAGAGAGAAAGAGAAAGAAAGAAAGAGAGAGAGAGAGAGAGAGAGAAAACGAATGAGCGAGCGAAGGAGCGAGTGAGAGGGAAATAAATTAATATCGTGTTCCGAAAAACAGTTGGTAACTGTCTTTCGGTATAATAATGTCCGCAAAGTTAATCGATCATCGAGCGGACTTGCGAGCTGTTCCCTCTAACCTTCGACTCTGTCATCCTCCTTTTATTCTTCTACTTATTCTTCTTCTATTTCCGTTCGGCGAACGCATCGGCAGTGGAGAGTAGCCATGGTATCGGCTTAACCCAAACCTCCGGTAGTCTTGGTCCCGTTGGTCTGCAGGTTAGAGTTCCTCCGGTCTTCCTCTGGAACCCACCGTACGAGAAAAAGGAAAATCGACTACACGACTAGATGCACAAATAAGAGGAAACAATATTTTGTTGTTTTTCGTTATTGTATACTTGTTTGAATATTATATAAACGATATAGGATAATTCTATTAAACGTGAAAAGTTGTATGAAAGTAATAAAAAAAAAAGAAAAAATTAGGTTTATATTTGAAATTCAGGTAATTGAAGTTAATTTAAGAAATGGAAGTGTAAAGATTGAAGAATTTTTCGTTACCCTTGTTAATCAAGAAGAAAGAAAGAGAATTTCAGGATACCTGATTTAGTGGCGAACGGATCCTTGGGATGATTGGTCTTGATGGCGTTCATCCTACGGTTCTGAGGCCCCTGATGAGGAGGAGGGCAACCACCGGCCGGTTGCTGTCCGTGCGTGGCGCCAGAGGACGGAGGGCCCCCACCAGTTGTGGTATGTTGGCTAGTTGGTCCGTGTCCTCCGACACCAGGAGGTCCACCAACGGTACTACCAACGCCAGGAGCACCAATTCCAGCTGGTCCAACACCGGGAGGTGCACCAGATGCTCTGACCCTTGGTTGTTCGACCGGTAATACGCGACGTCTCTTCTTTGGTAGTTTTGCTCGCGCCTGCGTGTGACTGTAATACATCGCAAAGTTGCTGACGATCACGGGCACCGGCAGGGCGATCGTGAGGACACCGGCCAGGGCGCATAGCGCACCAACGAACATCCCCACGTATGTCTTCGGTACCATATCCCCATAACCAACCGTTGTCATCGTTACCAGAGCCCACCATAAGCCGAGAGGTATGCTCTTGAAGTCGTTTTGAGGATTGGATTGAGTCCTCTCGGCGTAATAAACCAGACTTGCGAATATAACAATGCCGAGGACTAAAAAGAATACCAGGAGGGTAAGTTCCTTCGCCGAGGCACGGAATGTTTGGATCAAAATCTTCAGGCCGGACGAATGACGGGTAAGCTTGAACAGTCTCATTATACGTATTATGCTCAAGAACTCGAGAAAGTCTGCATTTTCCAAATGCGATGCGAATTTTTGCAACGCCAAATCAAGGTAAAAACTCAACGTTGCTACCATGTCGATAACATTGACCGAACTTTTAATAAATACGCAACGATTTGGGCTAGCCGTTATTCTTATTAGAAACTCCAAGGTAAACCATGCGTTGCAGACACACTCGATGTAGAAGAAGAAATCGTGGGCGTTCGTACGCGTCTTGTCTAAAACCCATGTCGTCGCGTTTCCCGTCTTCACCGAACGATTAACTATTACTGGTACGCGCATATCGGGATGAGTCTTCAGGCAGAATGACAATATGGAGATGCAGATGAAGAAGACCGAAATTATGCTGATTACCTGTTGAAGAATCGGACATACAAAGGCTTGATAAAGATATCTATTACGTAATAACAAAACGGAACTGTTCCATTCCATTTGATTATCTTACTTCTTCTTTTCTTTTACGTTCGTTGATATGTGTAAACGAAAAATATAATAAAATGAAAACAAATCAAATAAAAATATAAGTATTGCAACAACAAAAATTAAACTCTCGAACACCCCCTCGACCGATGCACTTACTTATTCGCTCTTAATTATTCTTGTTTTAATCATTTTTGTATACAATTTTTCCGTTAAATCGAGTAGCAATTATTTCGCTCGAGTGGGTTTTCGAGAAAGAAAAAACAAGAAAAAATAAACACTGATAGGGGTAGTTGGGTAGGTATGAAACGATATAGCAAAAATTAGAAAATATTTTTCTACTCTTTGGTGTTAGGGCCATTACACTTTTGTAGTATAACGACGATGTAAGTACGTCGGAAGGTTTCATCGATGTAAGTAATTTATGATCAGACAGTTGGGAACGAAGAAAGTAATATAAAATGATTTATAATAGAAGAAGCAAGGTGGACGTGAAAATAGGAACGTGAACATAAATTCGTTTCGTTTATTTTTTTTCTTCTTTTCCTCCCCTATCTACATATCACCCTTTTTTTCTCTTTCCGACTGTAGAATTTTTGGTCCTTTTTCCTTTTTTTTTTTTCTTTTACGCGTCAACATAAATATGCAAAGCCATATTTTCAAAAGGTAGACACTGATATTGCGGATTTAAAGGTACTTCGTGACAAATATCGTCGTTCGAAGAGGGAAGTGAAAAATCGTCAAGAATAGCTCCGGGCTGAATCATTTGCCGTTGAACAACAAGAACCGAGAGAAAAGTACGTCTAAGGGGGGAAAAAAAAATAGCACGAGATATTCCCCACTCCATCCGATAAGATGAATCATCGAGGGAACTTAAGGGGGGAAACATGAAAATGGGCTATCATACTCTACTCGATCTTATGTTAAGGGCGAACAATATAATAGTTGGGATAAATGAGAGGCTGGACTTTTTGAGCGTGTAAGTTTGTTTGTTTTATCTCTGTGCGTGTATGTGTATATATATGATGTATACCTACTAACAGAACGGATAAAGAAAAAGAGAAATTACGATAATAGCTTAAGAGCGAGCGAAACGAGAGAAATGTAAACGTTAAGGGGGTGAAAAAGAAGGAGGGAAAAAGAAAAGCATATCGTAGGGGAGACTCGATAGATATAGTACCGTAATATCCGATACATTTTATTCCCTCCTATTGATTGCGATGTTGAACTGTAGAAAGGACAAATGTAATAAATTTACGTATAAGAAAGAATAATTACGAAAATAAATCAATAATTATCTTTAACCTTATATTATGATATTATTTTATGTCATTTATTATTGTATCGTCAAATTCCGCACGTATATTTCTATTTCAATCGGTTGTTTTATTCCATTCTTGATTGTTACAAGCTTGATTATGCTAAATTACTTAACCCATTTTGTTTGTCGTAATATTCCTATAAGTAGTCTTTGAATGAATTTTACCTCTTAATGTATTTTACCATTAAATAACAAGAAACCGATAACTGGTAACCACTCTTCTTTGGTGCAAAGGTAAACTGGAATATGGTCGGTGGTGTTATAATACTGTTACATAACTGTTACAAACACGACAAACAAATAGTAATCAATTAAGCACGTTTAATCCTATAAAGTTATAATAGCCCAAAAAGGAAAATCCCTAATATACGATTAGAGATAAGCATTCGACAATACAACAAAATACATACTAAATATCATTAAATCATAGACAATTATTAATTTATTTTATCAAAATTTTGAGATAAGAACAATAGGAGTTGCATTTATCAATGTGAAAATTATATAAATAAAATATATATAGGGAAAATTTTCTCAAGTTTACGAACTCTCGTTACCTATAATTGGAATACAATGATAATATTTTTTGGATCGTAACTGACCTTGGCGGTAGGTGAGGAGTAGGGTTCATCGAAGAGCGACCACATTTGAGGCTTGAGCTTTTGCCACCAGGTGAGGGTGCCCTCGTAATATGCTTCCTCGAAGCCAAACTTTCTAGCCAGTTCCTCGTCCGTAGGTTTTTCAGTGTCCAAATCCAACCTGTCCAGGACCGTCAGGGTTTCCTGTGTGTCCCGATGCTGATGATGGATGATGGAGTCGACGATAGACGATGCGTCAAGGGGAAGGGGCAACAACGATCGTTATTCGTACCTGTGAATTTCTTTCTTTCTCTTTCTTTCTTTCTCTCTCTCTCTCGCTCTCGCTCTCTCTCGCTCTCTCTTTCTCTCTCTCTCTCTCTCTTTCCTTTACGAGAAATGCTTTTCAACAATTTCCTCGAGACGAGATAAAAACGCGTGCAACAAGCGTGTGTATGTACAATACATTATTCACGATACCGGGCCGCTTTTTTTAAACTTTGATTTGCGAGTGCTGTGTACTTTCTTTTTATTATTATTTTTTTCTTCTTTTCTTTTGCGATAAAATCGATAACGAAAGGCGTGTACTTTTTTGTTTGTTAGAAACCACGTAAACGATGTAAAAATAATATCGCGATAGTTGTTTCAATATTATTTGCATAAATATCGTCGTTCGTCGTTATGCCGGAGAATATTCAATATTTTTTTTGAATATATATATAAAACAAACAAACAAAAAAAAATAAATAAATATGTATAATAAAATGTCGAGGAAAAAGGTGGGAGACGGTGGGAGGGGCAGGGCAAAGGAATGAAGGATTAAACGGAAAGAAAAATATTTTTGTCCTGAGTGAGATTCCCTTGTGTGTAATAGAAAACACAAAATATATTTATCTTGTATTGGACTTTTCGCGTTGTTTTTTTTTTTCTTTGATATAAATGCTGATGGTATTTGATATTCGTCGGAATGAATAGGAAGTAGTTTTTTATGAATTCTAGATATTGAACTATTCTCGAGTGGATACATTCGAGATAAACCATTCGATTCGAAAAGAAGCACCGGGGTCCATCAAGAGGGATGAGATTATCCAACTTTAGGACTCCTAAAAGCATTTTCAATGAAATTTCTCTCGATCCTTTAGCGATACTTTATTTTTATTATTATTAATATTATTTTTAGGGCACAAAATCTTCTTTGTTTTTTAACTTTTTCTTCTTCTTCTTCTTAACAATTTATTCTCATTATTATTATTCGTTATCGAAGTTATAATAACGTCGAAGATCGATTTTATTAATTAATCATGCTAGTCTTGTGAAATAATTATCAAATGCCAATTAACTGCTCTGATATCGGTACTATAGTATTATACTAGGAATAATTTAACAAAGCGTTCAACGATAACCGCAACTCGATAGGAATGGATCATAAACGCCGTGGATTTGGTCGAATGAACGATTTTAACGAGCTTCCTGTTTATCTTCAAACATTATTTCTCATTTGAAGGAGGAAGAATTTTTCTTTTCTTTTTTTTCTTTTCTCTTTTTACCCATAATAATATAATTGCACTTATTTATAATATTTAAGTTGAAATAAAACTTTTATCATATGTTAATTGATATAAACAAAGTTATATTATACGTATTACACGAGATGATAATTCAATTTCATTGATGTATAATAGATAATTCGTTATCATATAAAGCTACTTGTTTTAGCATTAGAACAGATATATATATATATATCTATATTTTTCAATGAAAATTTGTTAATTACTATTCCATCAAATTTATGTAATAGAACATGATTATTCTATTAACTTTATTGCTTATATTACTTTCAACGTAACAATAATATTATAATTTATTCATCCAACATAGATGTAGAATTTTCGAGGATTATTATGTTGAAATAAAAAAAAAACAAGTTCATATGACTAATTTAAATCCGTTTGACTATTATTTAAGATTTTCAGTTAACAATATCGAAGTATTGTGTCTATTATATTCAAGAAAATTGTTAATATATCAGGCAACATATTTTTCAAAGAGTAAATAAAAAAATATATAATAAGACGTGCACATGGGGAAACCGATGGTGGCCACTTCGAACAATTTCTATGAAAATCATGTTGCATTATGCACATAACAATGTGTATAATAGAAAAACGATTATAATTTGGAAATAAGGTCATATCGGGAATATGATTATATGAATTTTTTTTTTCATTTATTTTAACATAGTGAAAAAATTACCCCTGAAATCATATCCATATATATATATTTTAAAATTTCCTGCATATATAGAATATTTGGTATTAATATTGTCGATGAAATATGATGTAAAATGTATGTCAAATCTGTAATACGGTTCATACATAATGCAATACGATAGTATTTTACAGATATGTTGGATAAGAGTCACTTTTGATTCAAATGATCGAAATAAATAGAATTCGAATTCGTCATTCGTTTAAAGTCTGGCAAGAAATATCGGTTGACTATGATTTTCCGAAGTTACGAGATAATAAATCATCAATTCCCAGACTTCCGAGATCAACAGAATCTGTGGAATATTGTTTGGTTAGAAATAGATCTAATACATTATTCATATTTCTAAGAAAATACAATAAAAGTGACTACTACGGAATTGCTTAAAGAAATTTATTGTTTCTAGTATTTAGATTATTGTTATAACATCATTTCTATCTATTTGATGATCAGTATTTTGTCAAATAAATGATCAGTAGTATATTATATGAATATATTGTTCGATATAAATAAGTAAGCATCGATATTTAATTATTACGTATCGATAATTATAATGTTGGATTAAATAAATCAAAAAAGATAAAAAAATCCACCTAAAATTGAAATTTATGACTTATTTTCCAGCATATAAATAATTATAATAAATCAAATAAATCATCCCATAATTTGATTTATAACATTATCACATAGTTACCATCACGAACGATTTTAATTATATGAAAACCCCTATAAAAATAGTAATCTTTAAAAAAATAATCTCAAATATTTATTCATCAATTTTCATTTAGGATTTTTGGTGCTTCTTTTCTATCGGCGGATATAACTAAGAGTTTGATTTTTAATAAATTACATTTTTATTTTTTTGTTATGTTTTAGTTCGAATTTCCGTTTAAAGTTACAGGATGGTGTGGGTGTTTTAAAGCCGTGTAAGCTTGGGTGAATCCTGAGATCGGCCTGACACGAGGATGTCGGAATCGTCTGGTGGTAACTCTCGCTCGTTAAGAAACCTCGTTACGAAATCATCCCACGGAACGACCGTTTGCACCGAGTTCGCGAGATCCTCTCTCATTAAGATCTTCCCACATTTGTAGCAATGACGATAGTATAGTATAGTAATACCAGAGCAGAGGATTAACGAGAGACTCTCTCTCTCTCTCTCTTTCTTTCTTTCTCTTTCTATCTCTTTCTCTCTTTTGCTCCTTTAAAAACTCGTACGTTGAAGATTTCTTTTTAAAAATGTCTTGCCTACTTACGTGAACAAGTAGGCTCCAACATTTGATACGAATTCAAACACGACCAAAAAAGTGATATGACTTTTTAAAGGGATATACTAAATGTCGTTAAGCTTTGATTATCCTTATTTCATTTTATTTTTCATTTTTATTTCTCTCTCTCTCTCTCTCTGTCTTCTTTTTCTTTCTTTATATTTTCTTTTTTATTCTCTTTTTTTATTTCGTTTCTTTCCATTCTTTCTTTTTTTTTTTGCGCTCGCTTTCAATCAGAAAAAAAGGTCTAAAGACACATTTATTTTTATTATATCCAACAACAAGGAATTACATTATCCCCGTTTATTATCCTAAGGAAAGACGAGAGAATAACTTTTGAACAAATTTTCAATCGAGGGGTTGTTGCGATGAAATAAACGAGGTGTCTTATCCGAATCCCCTCGACGAATCATTGGTATAAGTAACGATTGTTTTTGACGATTATCATTTCTTTTTATCAAGCTTTTCTTTTTTCTTTTTTTATTATATTGTTCGATTAAAAAAAATCATTATGGTATAAAATCAATGATATTAATACCTTTGCGGTGTTTGACTCGAGTCCGATCGTTTAAAATGTGAACCATATAGTATTTAAAAATATATTATATATATATTCCATTAAATCGTTTAAAATATAGAAATAAAAATATAATCAAAATTACGAATCAATTAAAATTGAAAATACCGGATTAATAATAATAATACTATCAAACCGCAAAGGGTTGTGTTATTCAATTTATTAGATAGATGTTAATTTTATTTCTTTATTTTATTTTTGTTGTTGTCTCTCTATACAAATCGAAGAGAAATGATAAACGAAGATGGAATCGAGTCGACTTAACGATTAAATATTTGACTATTATGCGAAGCTTGGTGCAAAGAACATGGATTATATAATATAAAGAGAGAGAATGAAGATCTGATTGATACCTGAGTATAGGTCATCCAACAACAAGGTTCGACTTGATTGGAATCGAGACCCCAAAAGTCGAGTTCCTCTTCGAATAGCGGTCCACAAACGTCAGTTGGATAATGAAGCTTTCCGGTACGATAATAATTAAGAACCTGTGCGAAAACACCTGGATGCCTGTCGAAGAAGTACTCGTTCAAGATCGGATCATAATTCGCGAGGGCTTCGGTCAACCTCGAGAGCCTAGTTGCTGGGATCTTCTTCAAGGTGGCTTTATATGTTTCATGCCGGATCCCACCCACGTTAAGAACCACGCGGTTTTCCGCGTCCATGTTAATCAGGTTCATTTTGATCACGGCTCTGCTACCGCCTGCCCTGGCTCGAAGAAACCCACCTTTCCTATTATCATATCAAATCAATAATATTTAATTAATACGTTTGTTTATTAATATATTATATTGTCTACTAAAACATATTCAGTGTTAACACAATGTCTAAAAACAATGTTACTTCATTTATTTTCCTTTTTTCTTGGATATGTTGCTATTGTAAATAATGTAGGTTTCTTATTTAAACAAAATGTTAATTTTTATTAATATATTATATTAAGTGTCTATTAAAATATATTCAGTGTTAATACTGTGTCTAAAAACAATGTTACTTCATTTATTTTCATTTTTTGTTGGATATGTTGCTATTGTAAATTATGTAGGTTTCTTATTTAAACAAAATTGTTAATTTATCTTGAAATTATCTCTTGAATAATTCTATTACATTTTACTACAAAACGTTGTATTTTGAACACTTATCTTTTTTTTTTTTAATGTTTTCTGAAAAGTATTATATAGATATACACATTAAAAAATGATTTGTTTAATTCAACACATTCTTCATTATATTGTATTATTAATTATTTTAAAAAGTAGAATATATATAGAAAACGTATATTACACCATACTATATTAAATAATAATTTAATACAATTTGAGGTAGTTAAATTACTTTTCACACTCGTTTCTCGTAAATCGATTGATATTTAACTTACGTTCTTTTTCTAGACACTCATTCAATTACATTTAAGGATACTTGATGAAAAAGATCGTCTGGATGATATCACTGATTTACATTTAATCGAAGATGTCTATCGTTTTTGAATCAAATGGGATATGGTATTGAAATGTAACGAATCTTTGATATAGAAAAATCTATAAAGTTTAATTGTCACAATTGTCTCTCGAATTGAATTCACATTTACTACGAACATTTTCAATGTGTAAATAGAAAACAGAATTTAAAAAGTTGTAAATGGTATTAAAATTAAAAATGTTCCATCGAGAAAAAGAAAAAGAAATTAAAATAAAGAATCTCTCTCTCTCTCTCTCTTTTTTTCTTTCTTTTATTATTTAAATCTATCATTGGAGGTAACTTGGTACTTCAATATAAATGATTAAAATTTAAACGATCGAATATTGGAAAAGGTGAATGATAGAAAAAAAGAAAGTAGACTTTTTTTTTTTTAAATGGAGACGATTTAAAGTATTCTTCGATTACGATAAGTTGTATACCGAAATATTCTTTATTCCTATTTGTCATCTAATCCGATAGTTTTCTTATTTATCTGGCAATGTAGACAACAAAATATGATCGAGACAAGTGAAGAATATCAAATATTCAATCTTATAGTAAATTATATATATATTGTAAGTTGATAAAGAAAATATATTGACTGACCGACTGACTCATTGACGTGTCAGACAGTGGTAAATAAGAAAGGTGTCACGAATTGTTGGATAAAATAGGATGAGATGAACATTGATCAAATTCCTTCGACTTAACTATTTACGTATATGTTACAGTGAAAGATCAACATTTGAAAATGTCAAGATTCACATTGGTGAATTTAAACACATACCAAATACGTCATTTAAACACCGAATATTTAGGTATATTCTTATACATTAATATTTCGGACATACAGCAAGCAACCATGTGATATGATATGTGTGATACATTAAGATCGAAATTAAAAAGAAAAAAAAAAGGAAAAGAAATGTTCAAGGTTATAGGATTTATCGATTACTTGAGAGATAATTTGATGTCTAGGAATTTTTTGTTCCGAAAGGGATCAATCCAATAGCAAAAGCAGTTAGAGTGAGATTGCCATGAAAGCTATTAGCCAACACGTTCTTCTTAAACGCAATCAAGTAGACTCGTGTCGTCATGTTATATCAACGTGAAAGAATTGAAATTGAAATTTGTAGTTGATCTTTCGAGAATAGATCACGAAGATTATATTACAGTGGTTTATATCGTAACATGTGATTTTTGTGTATTTTGGATAGTGGACAAGGAAATATAAAAACAATGAATAAAATTTGTATAATCAAGGAGATCCTATTTAATGGTCATCATTGTTACGTTTATTTATAAACAATGGTTTGTATTTTCTCGATAATTTTCTGATCTCGTATGATTTCGCACGTTTCTCGTGAACCGAGTTTATCCATTTCAATATTATTTTATCTCTCTTGTTAAAAATACTCGATTATTTTTTAATTTGTGTTCCTACGTTCGAATAATAAATTAACAAAAAAACACACACATAAAGAAATACATTTAATTAATATTTTTTGTGTGACAATTTGAAAATAATTATTTATTCGAAGTTCATATTGTCCAATACAAATAAAACAAATTTCAAATTAAAAGTGTACAAAAAGCAAATAAATGAAAAACAAAGTTGTTCATACTTAGATAAAGTTTTACAATATTATTTGATTTTAATAAAATATCAAATATTAGTATTATCAAGTGCATTGAATACGATATAAAAAAAAAAAAAGTTTCATCAACGTATATTGCCAATAATTTTATCTATTTAAAGAAGATAAAAAACCAGTTTTCCGACAAAATGGCGAATTAGTCGTCGTAATTAATCTAAATTTGGATTAATTAGGTAACCCCTGAAACGATATTAATTTCCAGGACTAACTGTTAAGTTAGTTAAATGGTCCGTTTCTATCACTGTCAGTGCAATTTATTGAAGCGCAAAAAAGTGTGACTATAATAAATAATATATAATTAAATAATATAATTTATATATAACCCTTTTTGTTCTTTTTTTATTATTTTTATATTTCCTGGCCATTTCTAAAATGAGAAACCCACATGTCAGATATGATATAATATATTAATATTTGATCTTATAACGTTAGTATGAAATATACGTTTGAAGTTGACACAGAGAAATCCATGGTAATCCAAAGCATGCCTAGTACCAATCTGCATAACTGCTTATGGCATGATATATATATCTGTATAATCCGTTTGCACGGATCTCACTTGGCTACAATTCTATTTTAACTTTAAAATATAAATAATACACAAATAATACGCAAAGATACACAATTTTGCAGCAGTGCATTCTCTGACATTTTCTAAACCTTTGCAAATTGATTTATAACTCGTAAAGGTATTCTACGCGTAGACAAAAGAGTGTACTTTAATTTAATATAAGTTTCATTCAAATCTATTCACTTTTAGTGTAAAAAATATTTAACAAAACTTTTCAAAGAAATTGCAAAGATGCACAATTTACAGCATTGCAATTGTATGGGTTGTTTTGGGGTGGAGGAGTTGCGTATGGCTGGGTGTGTCTGTGCCCGAGAATGTATTCTTTTCAACATTGTTTAAATAATAATTTGATATTCTATAGAATGGCAAAGTATTATGTTCAATGCTTAGGAAAAACTGGAAGAATTCTTCTGTTTTCTACTTCATCGAAAAGCTCTTTGCATTGATGAGAATGCCGTGGAATTACCAACAATGGCGGATTTTCGGCTATGACGGTAACATATATACAATTCTCTCTGGCTCTAACGTAAAATCATCACGAAATCGTAATAATACTATAAATTGTGATTGAGAATTTTGATATTCGTGATATAACCTTTTTCTATTTTTGGTGGATAGCAGTCTTTGCCAAGTATTATTGGCAAATCGGGAATTGTTCATATACGATGAATCTTTCTTTATCGATTTATCTACGTAATTCCCAAGGAGAAAAGTAACGTTGAAAAAATTGAAACGAGTTCGATAAGCCGGTTAGGTTATTTCTATTTTCTTTTCCTATTCTTTTCTTCTTTCTTTCTTTTTCGTTCTTTCTTTTTCTTTTCGCTTTAGTTTTTCTTCTTCTTTTCTTCTTCTTTCTTATTTTATATCTTTTTCGAGAAAAAAAAAACCCGTCGCACGTAACATCGGGAATCCATTTCGTTGGTGAGCTTAAAGGGAAGAAAACCCGTGGCTTCTTTCTTTTTTTTTTTTCTTCTTCTTCTTCTTTTATTTTTCATCAACGCATCGTAACAATGTCGGACCCGTTAATATAACGATAGACGTCTCGCGGATGTTGCACTTGCTCGTAATGGACACGTTCGTTCGATAGGTATTCGTTTGAAGAAGAAAAAAAAAAAGAAAAAAGAAAGGAAAAAGAAAAACCGGGATAGAAAGGGAAAAAATGAAAAATAAAAATAAAAGCAAAAGCAAAAGAAAAAAATAAAATAGAAAAAGAAAAAGAAATGGAGGAGGAATAGTGAAGATAGAATAGAATAGAAAAAAAAAAAAAAATGCACCGACACCATTATACAAATGGATCGAACGTATATTATCTGTCTACTCTTGGAAAAGCAAGTGTTGTTGCTGAATGTAGGAAACAATAGAGAAAACAAGGCCATTCAAATAAGAAGTATATATCGTTGTGCGGATTTTCTAGTTTTTCTTTTTTCTTTTTTCCCTCTCCCTCCCCCACCCCTTTTTCTTCTTCCTCTTCTTTCTCTTTTCTTTCATTTTTTTCATTTTTTGTTTTGTTGACCGATGAACGTTGCGCAAAGAAGAGAGGATTATTAATATACCAATTTTTTTAAACTATGCGTTTCTAATTGCCCTATACATTCCTATTACATTTTTTGTATAATACTCTAGAAACTAAAAAAAAAAAAAAAAAATTTCGTTCCGTTTAATTTTACATATTGTATACGCTTCAATTCTAAATTGAGAATATACTAGAAAATTGATTTGAAATTGCGAAAGGATTTAAATCGAACTAACGAAGTGTGATATCCGTACAAAATCAAATTTCCAGTGTTCGCGAATTTAAACTACACCGACGATGATGAAGGATATGTTAAATAATATCAAAAAAAAAAAAAAAAGAAAAAAAGAAGAAGAAAAAAATCCTTTCATCCCTATATAATTACGAGCATTGTTGTGGCTATGACGTAATGCTCGACGAGATAAAAGTAATATCGGTTGAAAAATATTGGTAATATTGTAATGGAAAAAAATGTGAAAAAAAAGAAGAAGAAGAAGGGAAGGGAAGGGAAGGGGTTGTTGGATGAGGGAAAATAAGAGTAAGGGAAGAAAAATGAACGGATTTATTTTTCGAAATCGCGGTTCCCATTAAATTCGAATAGATTCGTTGCCAATCGTTTTATTCTCAATATATAATATATTATCGCATCGTATTGAAATAAATTCGATCACCGAAAGATAAAAGTTTTCCTGCAATCATATCATCGGTTTCAATCGATCGTTAAGCCTTCCACCGTTTATTATTACATTTGATTTCTCTTCGGACCGGTGTGTGTCCGAGTTTGAGAGTGCGATATTAAGAAGAGTTTCGTGAAAAAACGTCGATATTTCTCAACGTTTTTCACGGATGACGACGAGAGGTCAGCTTCGAGAATGGAAGGAAGGAAGGAAGGAAGAAAAATAAACGTAGCTTCGATGTAATTAGAACGCTCCAATTACACGACCATTTAATGGTTTCACAAATAAACGACATTAATCGTGTCGTCACTATGCTCCTCAATCTTGCACCTCTTTGTTTTTATTCTGTTTTTTTTTATTTATTTTTTTTTATTTCTATCGTAGGAAAAAGAAGATAGAACAAAGAAGAATATCCTATTTCGTATTACCACGTGGTTAGTTTTGATTGAAAGTTGCGAGATTTGTTAGTTGAACGGGTACGCTGACGTTACTTTATGACGTATACGTGTACTATATATATATGTATATGTATATGTATATACTATGCATCCCATAATTCGATTTCAATGGTCGACAGTTGGATCTGACTAGGTTAGCCTATGAAATGTCCATAGTTTCATTGATACACGTCGTAAACACATCACCGTTGCCGTAAACAATACGAATGATCTCTGTGTTGAAGATCTGACTGCATCGTACAAGAGAATATTCACTTTATGCAATTAATATCCTCTATATCAGTGATACATATTTATTTTCCAAAGGAAATGTTCATTTGTATTTTAAAGAAATTTAGTCCCCTTTTTAATACGACGCTTCGAGGAATAAAGAACCGGTCTGAAACATTTTATCACCGTAGTGAAACATTATTTACCTTATATACGATCAGTATTTGGATTAAATTATTATTCGTATTTTGTATAATACACGATCAATATTCAATGAATATCTTGTTTAATGAAAATAATTAAGCGTCAATATCGAATTGCATTTTTTTCGTCAGTTAAAATACCATGCTGGGATATTTTATCGTAAAATAGAAAATATTTATTTAAAATATTGACAAACATTTTATAATTGAATATAAATCATTGAAATACCGTTTGATGAAAGATTGAAAAATATAAATTGATACGATAAATAACCAAGGAAAAATGATTTAAGACGGTCATCTTGAATTTGTAGTTCACTAAACGTCGAAAACGGCCTTTATCGAAGGCTTAAATTTCGAAACGTGTGATACACAACACCAAGTATAGTAAATTTTCCAGTCGAAGGATTTTCTCGCCACGATAATGGGGGAACCTTATTTTTCCTTTCGAGATCCATTTATTTTCGGTACAACGAGATCGATCAATCCGTAAAAAAGAAGAAGACAAAAAAGAAAAGAAAAGAAAAAGAAACAAGAAAATAAAGCAGAGACAAAGTCGTAGTCTTTTTTTGCTCGTGGTCAAAAAGATCTCGACCATCTTCTCGTGTATAATATAAATTTTTCAAGAGAGATTTGAACTCGTAGAAAACTTTTCGTTGCCGGTACAAATTTTTTTTTCCAACTTCAAGATGATGGGAGGTGGTGAAAGTGAGGGTATTTCGTAGGTGTGGCTTGAAGTTCAGAAATCTGTTCCATCAATCCCGTTTATGTCATCTTTAATGTGTTTCATTCAGTTATTGTATAGAATAACTAAGTATTGCATGGTATACAAGTGGGCGTTTTAAGGGGGGGAGAGAAATTATATATAAAAATAATTTTAATTATATTATACTTAATATTATATTCTTCGTCAATTGTTCTTTCTTCATTTTCGTGTCAAATGTCGCGAATTAAATAAATATCTTTTTCCTTTTGTGTGCCCTTCGGCTAACATTATCGCGTACTTGAATAAAATGTATAAAGTACTTCGGAAGAATCGATTATTCTAACGTGTCCACCTTTATCGGACACCTATTATGGTATATAAACTTTTTTGTTGAAGTTACTAATGCGTAAACTTATATAATTTCTTATATCATCAAGAAATACATTTGTTTGAAGTAAAAAAAAATATATTAACAATTATGGTATAGAGAAAAATGAATGATTGAAAAAAATGTACGTATAAAAATCATTAAGGAATATAAATGATTATTATTATTATTATTATTATCTGTGTAAGATATTTTTTAATGGAATAAGGCGCGTGTCGTTAGTCCCGCAGAGACACCTAGCAGAGAAATTTAGTCGAATCAATGAGGTATTCGCGAGCATGAAAGAGGCAGTAACAACCCCTTCCCTAAAAATAGACTACCTCGTAATGGAAGAACCTGGTTTGCTTTTCGTCGAGAAGGGTTCAAACTTAGGTCACGTTACTCGGATCTTTAAAGGAAAGTATCTGCTTCGTTAGTTCGTTCATTCGTTAGTTCGTTTGAAATATGATTACTTGGAACGTGAAAGATTCATTTCAATTTCTTTAAGATTGTAAGCATATATATACATATATATATATATGCTTGTCACATATATATATATATATATATATATGTGACAAGCAAAAGTGTTGGAATAGAAGAACCACCTGCCGGCATGGTGGAAGAAAACCGGCGTCGTTCTTCGTGCAATGCAATAAGGTCGACGATCAAAGTTGAACATCGTCGGGCTCTACGACGATGACGTTCAACTATGCTCTACCTTTAGAAAACTTTTCACGTTATTTAGAATAATATTATTCAACAAATAAACCAATAATTCGAGAACAAAGGTAAAGGTATTTGATCGGTGGTTGAATGAAAATAAAATAATGGTAAATAAGAAAGAGAAAGAGAGAGAGAGAATATATATAACATTAAAAGTAAAGTAAAAGTGAAAAGTTACTTGAGTAAGTAGTAAAACCGATCGTGACTCGATACACGTACTTTTAAAATCGATAATTCCGAGCGTACTCAGAATGCGCGAATAGTTTGACCGAGGGAAGAAGAGTGTCAGCAAGGTTAAACGGAATGAAAACTCGTGGAGTTGGTGGTGTTGTTTAAAAACTATGAGAGAGAAAGCGAATGAGACAGATAGAAAGAAAGAGAAAGAAAGAAAGACATGGGGGAGAGAGACCTTCGTAGAGCACGTTGCTACCAGTAGAGCTGGTAAATCGGTCGATTTTCTTCGGTCGTCGTCGTCATCGTCGTCATAGTCGGCGAATGTAGTGGTTGTCCACGGTAACTGCGATCGAAACGGAGCTTGGTGGGCACTGGCTCGCTTTGTGGTCGTTCATGACGTCACGCGAGAAAGATATGTAGAGAAGACTATGAGGGAGCTGAAGGAGGAAGAAAAAGAGAAAGAGGAAGGAGAAGGAGGAGGAAGAGGAAAAGAGGGAGAGGTTAACACGTAAAAAAAAGGAACACGCGCGAGCGAGTTTTTCTTCGAAACGAATAAAAGGAATATATCGTAGTATTAGAGTTGAAGCAACAGACAGTGCGGTTTAAGCAATAACAGTAGAGTAACAGTAGCAATGACTGGCGTTGGTACGCGGCCCCGTAGCAGTAGTAAAAGCAACGATAATGACAGCAGTAGTAACGGCCGGCCCCTTGTCGCTTGAATCGATAGTCTGCGTGCACGAAATGCCGATAAGAGCGCTCGTTGCTTCCAACGTCCTTGTCGGTGGCACTCGTTTGCTCGTATTCTCGCCCCTGAGAATATGAGGACGATAGGGAGAAAAAAAGAGAGAGAAAAAAAGAGAAGAGATAGAGAGAGAGAGAGAGAGGGATGATTGTTTCACACGTTTTAAACGTTCGTATTTCACGCACGAATCCGGCCCAGGTTTTTGTATTATCTGGCACGCTCGTGTCTCGCGTGGTCGAACGAATCGAAGCACCAGCTATCGTGCTATGAACAATGTGTGCAGGTGAAGAATGACGGATAAAAGGAGGAGGAGGAGGAGGAGGAGGAGGAAGAGGTGGAATAAGAGGAAGAGCAGGAGAGAGGGGTGGGAAGGTGGGGGAAAGGACGCGCGTTCTGATTTACTGGCTAAACGCAGCACACACGAGGGGTAGCTGACCGGAACACACGTCGGATCGAACTTCCCTACGAAGGATTGATCGAGGGCAAACGGAAGGTAGACGTTTCGAACAAGCAACCATCGGAAAGGCAAACGATGGAGAAAAATGGATAGACAGACATGGAAGGGAAGTCGGAATGACTTCCTCTCTCTTTCTATCTCTCTCTCTCTCTCACTTTTTCTTTTTTTCTGTCTATATTTCGTTGGGAGAGAAGAAAAGCAAACGAGGGATTAGAATGATAAAAGGGTGCGAAATTAACCAAGAGATAGGGATAAAGATGGAGAGAGAAAAAGAAAGAAAGAGAGAGAGAGAGAGAGAGAGAGAGAGGGTGAGAAAGATAGGGAGGGAAAAATGGTCGAAGGAGGAGGTCGACGCATATAGGGAGAGAAAGAGAAAGAGAAAGAGAAAGAGAGAGAGAGAAAGACACTGCGATGGAGGTGGAGACACGAATCGATGTAGGACACATGTCCCGATAAGCATCGGCACGCCGTCGTTGTGTCATATTTTATTCCTTTTCGGTAGAGAATTTTGTTCGAATAATATATGCCATAAAATAGAGAGAAAGAGATAGAGATAGATATTAAGAGATAGAAAGAAAATGAGGATGGGATAAGAATTTCACTTAGAATACCCACCCTTGGTTGCGGTTTCTTCATGTCTCGTACTTCCTCCTCGGTGGCATCTTCTCAGCGACGGCACTCGTTGCTTGTATCGTACACCTTCCCCATAGCGATTCTTTTCCTTCTTCTTCTTCTTCTTCTTCTTATTCTTCTTCTTTTTACTTCCTTTATTTAGTTTCGTAAGACGTATGTCGTATTCGACGATGATCGTACACTTCTACTTCTTATTTTATTCCATTTTTATTATTTTTTTCCGTAACCTCGACTATTCTCGACTTTTCTTTAAATCGACTGATATCAAATCCTCGTACATTTATTAGCAACATGAGAATAATATAAATGAAAGGGGAACGAGAAATGATTATCAACGGGAATTACGTGTGTTAATACACAATTGAAATAATAATAATAATAATAATAAAAAAGAGGAAAAAATGTGATATAAACCGAAAAAGAAAACGAAATGGTGATAAAAATTAAGAGGGAAGAGGAAGGGAAATAAGGAAGAGTAGAGAAAACTGATGAAAAAATTGGGCAGACGTGATACTGCTGTTGCTGCTGCTGCTGCTGTTGCTGCTAACGCAGAACGAACGTCGTCTTTATCTACTCGCGCGCACGGATCAGACTGAAAGCGTCGACGCGAGCGACGCTCCGACGACGTCGAAAGACGCCGAGTTAGTAATGCGCTTCTGAGCGTGCTCCTTGAATGCGTTCTATACTACTACTACTACACTACTACTGCTGTTATTGTTACTACTACTGCTACTGCTGTTACTGCTGACTACTACTGCTATTGCTGTTGCTGTTACTACTACTGCTGACTACTACTGCTGTTACTATTGCTGTTACTGTTGACTATTACTATTACTGTGTTGCCTGTTAAAATATTGCTGCTGTTGCTGACTTTTACTACTCCTACCTACTGCTGCTTCTTCTTCTTCTTTCTAGCTATACCTACTAGTAATAGTAATATAGTATTAGTATTAGTATCAGTGTAGTAGTAATAGTAGTAGTAGTAGTAGTAACAGTAATAGTATATTGTAATAGTGCGAAAAGTACAGGGTGGTAGCGTGCCGTTTCGTGGCGTGTCGCGACGCGCCACGCCGTGTCGAGTCGAGTCGAACCGAATTAAACCGAGAAAAGGAAACCAACAGCGGATTTTACGTTTGTACGCATGCGTCCTGCAAGTTCGCGCCGATCGCACGCCCCTACACACGTTTTACACACCCCCGCATCCATCCCCTCCCCCTCCCTCCCCCTCCGCCTACCGCCTACCACCTTTTACCTTTTTTTTTCCCTTTACCCCGTTATAGCGATTCCTTGCGTCTGACTACACACCGACATTATCTACTTTCTTTTCCACGAATCTCTACAATTGGACTAACTTAAATGCAACTCATTTCACTTTTTTTCCTACTTCTTCTTTTTATTATTATTATTCTTTGTAGAGTTTTTCTTTTATTTAATGATTTTGAATAAAAAATCTTTTTTTAGGCAAGTATGTTACCTTGATGAAGAATTAAGAGGACTATTACACGATCATCATTCCTTTAAAATCCCCTTTTACTATTATTGCTGTTACCATTCTTGTTATTGCTACTAATACTATTAGTAGTAGTACTATTCCTCTCAATTCGGCCTATTTTTATTTCATTTGGTAGACTATTTTTTTCTCTTTTTTTATATCTTTTCCTCCCTCGGTAAAATCTCCGAAGCGAAATCGTGGTCGATAAGATAGTTCCACGTTTCTACCGCTACAATTCTACCCCTTTCCCATTCGCTGTTTTTTATTCATTCGTTTATTCCCTCGACTATCGAAATAAGATTGATTGTATTATATCGTTAGACGTTAAGCTCACCGATTGGACATTATTTAAACATATTTTCATGTCGGTTTTCTTCATGCATTTCATGTTTTTTTTCTTTAATTATTCATCAAAGAGTCAAGCTAGCTTGCACAATTTTGATCATCGATCACGATCGATTTCCAATCGATGATTAAAGAAAGTATTCTATTTTCTTTTCTATTTTTTTTTTGTTCTTTTTTTCAAACCTTAATATCACACCGACCTTTTTCAGCATAATAAATGTCGTAGCATATGTCGTCTAAAGAAATCGAACATTTTCCATGATCGTTCGATTAATATTAAAACAAAATAGATCGCTTTTAATTAAGCAATTATATTTTGTTATTGTTGTTCATAATGAAAAGCAAATAATATGAATGAATACTTAATACTCATCGACTGCGTTAAATCGATCTAACATAAAACGCAAACGAGTAAATATCATCGTACTTTATCTTGCAACACTAATACACATTGAGGATCGGATAATAGCAAATGTTTACTCTCGTAGTCGATCCCTTACCCTACTTGACAAGCTTTTTCATCCTCTTCGACGATGCCATGCAACGACAAACGGCAAATGGATTCTCTTAGTGCTCTTGCTGATATATACGAGATATAATTTTTTTTTTGTATTTTTATATTTCTTTTTTTTTCCTTTTTTTTCTCTTTTTACATTCCAACAATTTATGATTTAACGATTGAAAAGCATTATAAGGGAATCTTACGAGTGATCGATATTACCATTGAATTTAATTTCTATTTAAAAAGATAAAATTTAAATAAACAAATGATAATAATATAATGTATATTTATTATTACAAGGTAAGATGATAAATTTGTATTCAAGTTTTCTTCCATGTATATCCAACATTTCAATCCTTATTTATTCCTTCTTAACGAAAAAAGGTTATACTATTTATTACGTTTAATATATATGTATATGTGTGTGTGTGTCTGCGCACGCACATGGCGCCTCGGCAATCGTGTTTTTTTTTCCCCGCAGAAAATAAGCGGACGCACGACGGCGGGACTCTTTTGTTCTTTTATCAGAACTTCCTCTTTCCCTCTTTCACTCGACATTCCTGAGTACTCGTAACAACCTAATCAATCTCGTTAACTTGACAGTTCAGGGGAGAAGTGTCTGAAGAAGTACGATGCTATATCTGAATAAAATTTTTCGAGGAGAGAACAAAAATATAAAACAGAGAAGGTAAAATATATACGCACACACACACACACACAGTACTTACGTATGTATAATATGTAGACACTATTAAAAAGATAAAGAATATTAAAATATTACAATGAAGTAAAAACAACCAAAACCAAAACCAAAAAAGAAAGAAAAAGAAAAATAGGTATTGAGAGAGAGAGATTGAGATGACGGGGTGAGATGAGAAAGGGGTGAGAATTTCATAAGAATACTTGCGTACACAGAGACAGTTTACTTACCCCATCGTGTCAAGAACGATTCAAAGGAATGTCCCAAGGGTGCATATCATCATCTATCTCTCTTTCTCTCTCTTTTTTTAGCATGTAAGTATATATATATATATATCAACGTCTATACTATGCGTGTCTATGCTGAGTAGAGAAAAGTGGGAGTGAAGAAATTGGGTGGATGGGTGGATAGGTGGGTGAGTTGGTGGGCGGTTGGTGAGGGATTCCATAGAGCCTGAGTAAACCATTCTAGCGGTCGATGGCTTACGCTTGCGCTGTATGAAACCTCTTGCGTCAAACGCGTTTTCCGTTCTGCAGGACGTTCTTCCCCCCTTTCATAGATACGCTACTGGCCTATCTTAAATGGCCTCGAATCGGTTCGGTCGTCTTTACGATAAAAAACGATCGACTCACGATCTTATCCCCCCCCCTCTGACCCTCCCCCCGTGCCCAACCCTCATGCACTTTTTCTTTTTGTTCATTCTCGTCATTGATTATACTTTTATATCCACCTTATGGTTTTCTTTTTTCCTTTTTTTTTGTACGTCTTTTTATTGATTCGAATTATTGTTCTTTTTTTTTTTTTGGATTGTATCTCTTTTTTTTTGCGAACGATCGATTTTTTTTCTCTTTTCTAATTTTAATCTTCTTCTTCTTTTGTTTTTTTTTCTCCCCCCTATTTTGTTCGTCACACGGTAATATCGATGAGGATTTTTTTTTTTGTTCGATGATAATCATTTCGTTACGGTTTCTAACAGGATATTATAACGATTGATTTATATTGTTTGTAAACTAGATGAGAATATTTTTAACCGTAGACGACAATTGAGGAGGAGCAGGAGGAGGAGGAGGAGGAGGAGGATTAAAAAGAACGAAGATTGTGGGAATAGTTAGTTTCCGGTCGAGATGCGGAGACTATTTTTTTTTTGTTTGTTCGATCTATATTATAAATACTGAAAGAATAGAGGAAAATTAATGGTTCAGGTTTTATGATCAGTTGGTTGGAATCATTGTTGCCATGGTTACCGTACTGGTCAACAAATTTCATAATGGAATTGTATTCTCTTCTTTCGTTTTTATTTTAGAAAATTTATTTTACTGTACTTTGTCATAGGAAATGTACGCTAAAGTTATGTGCAACGTAGTATGACAAATTATTAAGTTGATGCATGAATTATTACGATTTATATGATTCCAATATATCGAAATTGTTCAATGAACAACATTGAATTTTTTTGTTCAACTTACGTAGATTTGTTTCAATGATGGCCTTTTTTTCGAAATTATACTTCTTCCGACGTGTTTGGGGAAAAATGTGACGAGAGTAAATTTTGGTTTTAAATTAATATTGTCGACAATTAAAGAATAAAATTAATTTCTCTTCCTTAAATAATAAAAAGGACAAATACTAAATATTAAACAATAAAAAAATCGATAATACGAATTTTACCCTTTACAATAATGCATTAAATGTTGGCAAAATTAAAAAAAAAAGGAAAAAAGTGATTGGAGCAAAATCAACTTCAAATTGAAAATCATAAAAATTCGCAATTACTTTTACACCGACCCAATAATTTTCAATACTCGGCAATGCAGAAATTCTCCGATGGAAAATGTTCGTTTTTTGACGATCTGAAAAACAAAAAAGAAAAAACAAAAAAAAAAGAGAAAAATACTTTCAGATCATTCATCCACACGGAACGCATAAAAAATTTATTTTAATTCACACGACACAATGGTGAATATTTTGAGAATATATTTTTTCTGTTCGATTATTTGTTTCCTCTTCTGGTTGAACGATTTCAGTGACACTTTGTTGTTGTTGTTGTTGTTCCATCTTATCGTCTCGAGTTAAATCACTATCTCGGTAGTCAGATAAGTTCCTTTCTTCAGATTCTTGGTTGGGAGAAGTGGTGCGTTCACGATGTTCGATTTCCGTTAGATTTATCACGATGTTCGGCTGTAACCAGAATATCAATTCTATTTACTATCATATATGTTGTTCAATCATCTGATTATTTGCTGAAAACAAATTTTTTCCACAAACTTGTTTTGACCAAATAATCTTTTATTGATGGAAAACTTTTAGAAGATTTGTTATAGAATATTTTTTAATTTGTAAAATTTGCACAAGAAATCAATTCGATTATTATATTTCATATATATATATATATTTTTAATAAACACTTTCATTTATATTTAATCGATATTTTGTGTATATCACTTGTTATAATATTTAGCAAAATAAATGTGGTAAGTATCATATTATATTTCAATAATTTGTTAATATTTATAATAAGGGTTTGGTTTGCATTAAGGTTATTTTCTTTTAATTTGTATAACACTGACCACACGTATTTAATATTAAATATTTAATTACTTAAATACCGATAAAAAAAGAAAAAAAAAAAGAAAAATGTATTTAAAAATGCTGACCCGCCAATA